ACACACACACACACACTGGAGTTAGGTCTCATTTAATTGGAAATATACTGAGGGGATTGCTGAGTGTGAATTAAAATGAGTAATCATTTTTTGCTCATAGAACTCAAACTCAACCATACATGTCCAACCGGGTATAGGTGTTATTTATGTGTGCACATGCATTCATACGTGAAAGGCTTTGTGTATGAGTGTGTTTGTGCACACACTTAGTACTGTAGCTGTGAAGGCTAGGCAGTTAAGTGTCAAAGCCGTTAACCAAAATATTACCTCTGCAAAACTGAACCATAAGCAAAAAAAAACCCCAACAACATTAATTTTCACAAAGAGCAAATCTAAAAAGTAATGAGAGCAGCAGAATTCTCACAGGCTTTTGCCCCGGTCATTTGAAAAGCAATAAAACTACATTAATCAGGTTTGTATTCTTATGGCAAACCAGTGAACTTAGATCATATAGTTAACTTTTATTTTCCATCAAAGAGCCCAACTGTGTGCATTAACAAACAGGCTTGAATCACATCTATAAATGGCAGAGTTGGATAACAGTGTGAGACCGGACCTTTGGCTGAAGGTTGCACTGGTTCATGTTGCTGGCCCCCTCCACTCCCCTTAGACCTGGCCTGATCTGCACTGGATGGAGCTTTGCTAAACATTGGCACCCTGATTGAGGTAATGAGTGCAGCTACTGCTAGTGTGCCCAGAGCAAGCTCCAGGTTTGTGAGGCTAAGGTAGAGATAAGGGTCATACGAATGTGGATATTAGCCATACTCACATAACACATATAGTTATTAAAGTGTTGGATAATCCATTGTAACACCTTTCTTTTTCTAAATGATTATTCTTACAAACAAAGGAGTAAAATCCTGTTTGGCTGTTTGCTAATTTATGCATCTATTAATGTATAGGCGCATAAAAAGGCAACTTTTCACAAATCACATCATGAGAAGCACGAGGAGGCACATAGACACATTTACATTATCAGAGCCAGATTAACCAGATAGTCAACCCCGGGGGCAAAAAAGTGAGTTGTGGCCCCTACTGAGTCCCCTGTGTTAGTTAATTAAATGCTAATTTATTTAATTATGGCTACCATGTAAGCATAGCAGTTACCTGATTGGCCTGGTTGATAATACTCAAACTACATTTATTGAAATAGTTTATGACTTGTACATTTAAGGTCCTTCAATATTTTGTGTCTTTAGATGCCAGCACTTTCTGGTAAGTTTGAAAAAGTCATTATTAATTACTTATTAAAGACAATTAGTACGCACATTCACATACTACAGAGACAATAATTATTAACCAATGGGAAAGGATCTCAAGGAATTTGAACCAGCAACCATCAAGTTACAAACCAATACTCTATGCCATGCATAAATGATAACACAATGTTACTGGAACACCATGCACATTACGATCTTCACTCTAGAAAACACTCTATGAATGTTGAATCGTGGATTTAAGAGTTAATGGAACTCAATTTAACTTAATAATTTATTTTATTGAACAATCTAATGTTTTAATGTGTAATATACAGCAGCAAGAACACATTAGACTATATGTTTTGACTGAAACCTTCCCATCACCACTTCACCACCTTTATGAATCTCAAGTGCACTCTCATATCAGCTGTCAGGTGAACCAGTTCCAAAGCAACAAACAAGTAAACAACCAATGAACTGATGGCAGCAAACATTTTCTTTTTCTAGGGGCAAAAAAAACCTCTACCGGACAACTGTGGGGATGGCAGGACATTCTGATAGATAGTGTGATAGATACCTGTGCCAACTGGTAAACATTACAACAACTACATAATAATGAACTGCCCTCCAAGCACCCTCCCACCACACAACCCATTGCATCTTAAGTGATGGAAACTTCCCTTCCTGGCATGGTGTGGGCTGTCAGTGTAGTCAATTTCCTGCCAGGTCTGAACCAGCAGAGCCAGGGACTCATGTTCCACTCAGGGGGCCTTCAGTCATTCTTACCCCTGCTACAGGCACATGTAGTGGGTGTGAGGTCAGACTCCAGGGCACAGGGTCTGAAGGGGAGAAATGGGATAAGGTCTCCCTCTGCTGCCGTCTTGTCATATGTGTCCTGAGAAAATACTCACAGCCAAAAAAAGCCAAAAATGGAAACCGATTCTTAAAAAGACTGCTGTTATTCAAGGAGAAGATTAAAGCAGCTGGCCCAAATGAAAAAAAAAAAATGTATTTACGGGAAAGTTATAGCACTCAGGGGATTTGACATTAGGGTACTGATATACTTTCATTATCACTATCTACATGTCTATGTATGGATATCTACCACTTCATCTATCCAACTGTAATGAATATACAAAAAATATGTTTTAATATATTCTGTATGTGCATATGTATAAAACACTTTTTTAGATGTATGCTTATCTCAAAATGCAATAATTTATATACATAACATGAATATATCTCACCACTCAACTCAGAGTACTTGGAGCAATTTAGAGGAAATGTGGAGGAATTAATGGGTTTGGGAAACATTACTTAATTGACATTGGACTGCATCATTCTTGTTTTTAATATTAAAACACCTTTATATTGCAGTTTTATTGCCACAAATTGTTTATTGTGTACTGGTAATTAAGGTTGAGTCAAATCTTATGGATAACAAAAACCAATCGGTGATAGGTAAATAATAGATATAATAGATAAAGATATATAATAGATAGATATTATCAGAATAATGAGAAAATACTAGCAACTTAATGCCTTTCTCTACCCTTGTTTTTGTCTCATATTTTCAGGCACTGTCTTTTGATTTAGTGTTCAATATTAGACAATATTATACTAAACTTTGGGGCGGGAGGGTCGCCGGTTCAAGTACACAGACTTACAGAAAAATATGGAGTGTGGACTGGGTAGCTGGAGACGGTGCCAGTTTTCAACCTCGGTGGCACGCCGAGATGCCCTTTAGCAATGGCAACCTAACCAAGCCTGCCATGGGCACTGTTTAACGTTGGCAGCCCTATTTACTCTCTCACTGTTTGCATGGCCACATCCATAAGTGCAGAAAGTGTGTATTCCAGCCTTGGTGTGTGTGTGTAAAAAAAGAGTGAAAACAACAATTTCCCCTCTGGGATTAATAAAGTATATCTTCTTCTTCTAAATCTCTACTCAAAAGGGGCCCTCGACTTTGGAACGCCCTGCCTGAGGAGATAAGGCTTGCAGGATCGGTAAATTCTTTTAAATCACTTCTTAAAACCCATTTTTATAGACTTGCCTTTATGTGATGTGGTCCTTTTATGTTTATTTTTACTCCAACCGTCTTTGAGTTCTGTTCTATTTATTTTATTTATTCCATTTCTTCTTATTTCGCCTACTTTATTTTATTCCATCTCTATTATTTCACCTACTTTGTTGATTTGTATCATTACCTCTGTTATTTCAACTATTTCATGCAATTTATTTTATCGTCCTTTGTAATTGTAAATTGTATTCTTGCTGTGTTCTTTGTTGTTCTGTCAAAGCACTTTGTAAACTATGTTTTAAGGTGCTATACAAATAAAGTTATTATTATTATTATTAAAATCATTGAATCAGGACAGGTCTAAACTAATGTAAATCTGACTGTGCTATAAATACCTACAGTGCACACTGAGTCGGTAGTTTAAACCATAAATACCCCCAAGCTGCTGCAGACCTGTAGACCTCTCTTCAAGGGCATGGACCAAAATACACTGCGCCTGCGCAGTCCGAGTGGCCCCGGAAGCACACCGACACACGTGTAGCGTTTGACAACCTTGAAAAGACTACAAAACAACTCAGCTGGTAGCTTATGTCTCACAACAAGCCGTCCCAGCGATGCCTGTAACAAGACTACTGTAAGTGCCACGTCTTGTCTTCTTCATTTATAGACGTATATACATGTAAGGACTGCTCAGATACATGTTGAATCTTTTAGTCCCAGCTAACGTTAGCATGTCTCAGCCTTTCCAGCTGCCATGTTATGTCTGACTGCTGCTGCCGCTGGCTCACGTTGTTTTCATACATTCCGCACATTGTGAGTGCGCTTTAATCCGTGTTTCACTCTTTAACTCTCTGTGAATCTTACATGACGTTATGAAACGAGGAACGCAGCCAGCGTTAGCTCGCTATGCTAAAAACAAACTATGTGGGTTACTATGACACCCAACCTTCGTGTACAGAGATTGTATTTATGTCTAACTGTGTACCTTTCTTTTGTCAGTCACTGTTTTGCTGTATCTTGAAGTCTTTAAAGGTGGTATAGGATAGTTCAACACAGTGTTGCAGGATCATTCTAGTTTATTATTACTGTATAAAGTCCTAAGTATTTCAGTGCAACCACATAATCTGATTTTTGAATTTGATGCAGATCTTTTTTTTTTTTTTATCCATCAACTTGCTTTCACTATATATTCGGCTGTAGCAGTTCTGCATGATTACTTTTGCAGATTATCTTCCCAGTCGGTAGTCTGCTTGTAGGAAACAGCACAGGGTGAGTGAGAATGATAGACGATAACAGTCTGCCTCTCCTCTCAGATACCCTCTCTACCAGCTGGGAAACCCTCAGCTGAGGATCTTCAGACCCAACTGGTTCCTGACTCTGGTGAGGCCGGGAAGAGAGCAGCCTCCTGACACTGCCCAGTTTCGCATCCCAATGGAGTAAGTCTTTGCTTACAAATCATCAATGTGTAGAGATGTCTTAAAGGAAGTACGCACGCTTGAGTATTCTACTATTGTATAATTCTGTACTATTAGCTGTCAGCCCACGTAATATTTAAATTATAAGGGTTACTATCAGGAATGGCAATTGAGAGCTGGTTCCTCTTTAAGCGCCAGTACCTCCAAAAAGGTTACTGTTGGCAATGCTTGCCATTAAATTCGAAGCATTACAGGTGAGTGCTTAATCTCCTCACTCTTTCATTAACTAATGAATGATTTTTGTCTATGAAATAAAAAACAATATGGTGAAAAATTCCCACCACATTTACTAAATAGTTTTTAAACGTTTTATGCTGCTCACCACATGTTTCAAGCACACATAGGTAGAGTGGATAGGGCGAGGGCAAGTAGCTGAATGCTGTTAGGTGTGAGCCATTTCAACCCTATTTTGTATAATAGCCTTGGGAAGTCAAATTTTATGCGATGTAGACCATGTGTTTATTCATACATCCTTGGAGGATTACTCCATCCTCAGGTAGGTGGATTGTACTACATATAATGCCACCACACAGCTGTAACTGTGCAAATTGTCCCTGAAATGATCTTCTTTTAAGTAAAAGAGTAAGTAATGTCTACTTTCACCACTCAGCAACTTCTTGGTCAAAGGTTAATAGATTATTTTTTGATTTTAAATAGGAAAACCTAAAATTTAAACCAGAGTGTTTGTAGATTATATTAGTGCATCTACCATCAGTAGCATCTCCTACAGTTAAATGTTTGTGACGCAAGTGAGGTAAAGTAAATGTGTGCTTGTAGGTGAGAGGTTGTCAGTTTTCTGTGATAGAAAACTGTTAGTTTGAGGTTAGATTTTATTATTCTAATATTCTAATTTCCCCTTATGTCCCTCAACAAGATGCACAATTAGTATATTGTTTGTTACATAATGTACTACACTACTACTACTATGATGATATGGAAATAAGTAATAGTTTATGTGTTGATGAATATGTATAGGAGAGCAAATAAACAATCTCAGGATTTGACTGTCTTTAAATGTGTCTGTACTTTGTTATGGAAATTCACTGCCAAATTGCTACTGTCATTTTCTTCTCTGTCATTAATTTTCAGTGTACAGTTTTTCAAACCAAATTTCTGCACATTTCTAACATACAAACCATCCTTGTTATTAATTAATACCTATTACCGGATGCATGTATACAATGCATACTTTTTCTACTTTTTCCAGTCAAGAGCCATACATTACATACTACGGTCCATCTATTCTTTAAATTATCAATTCAAATGCTAAACACCCTACTTGTCATCTTCTTAAAGTACAGGCTGGTATGGATTCAGCACCTCCTGTTTTCAGCAGCGTGGATGATAATTATCACGGTTGCCTAAACCTGGACCTTGAGGATGAAGAAGAGCACCCCAGTGACTATATAAAGTCTTATAGCAAGATTTATAATGCTTATAAACAATAAAAATATAGCAAGCTGATTCCCTGTATGGGCCACAAATTCTACTATTATAAGACTTATGAGGGGTTATTTTATTTGGCAAGTTATTTTAGGCTTACTTCTGTTAGACTATAGTAGTAGTTTAATGTAATTTAGACCTTTTATAAAATGAACATATATTTCATGGTTTTTGGCTGCAATCATTTGTTTTTACTGGCACCGTAGCAGTGTTTCTGGACCAGTGTTATGCCGCTGGAGTTGCATTTCATGGCCACCAGGTGGCAAGACAGCCTCAAGAACAGAAAGGTGTTAGTCCTCAACAGTATAGATAGTTTTTTTTCCACCTTATGGCTGTCTGTAATGAGTTCAGCTGCAATGATGACTTGCAAATGGCATGACACAGGCAGCAGGGTGGGAGGTAAGGTCAAAAGTGCTTTTGTCTGGCACTGCAGTAGAGGTTCGTGCTCGTTTGTACACAGTGAGATGTCAAACATAAGTCACATTGAGGAGCCAATGTTAATATCTACATAGAAAATTAAAGCAAACTGTTCTTAATCATTCTCCAACACACATGTCCAATGGAATACACTATATATAAAACACCACCTTAGTGCCCTAATTTTGCTAAGTTGTTTTTGTATTACCAAAAGTCAATTTGGTGAGTTTGGAGTATGTATTCTGTCATAAAACGCAACAGGAGGTCCTTACCAGTCAGCAGTTAGTAGTGATGAGCTGATTTTGACTACCTCTGCGAGCCAAGGTCATTGAGGTTAGCAGCACTCCTCAGGCTATGAGAGGGCCAGAACCCACACAAGGGAGAAAAATTGAAGTTTGAGGCAGATCATCTATGTGTCTCTGGTGGGGTTTAGACCATAATCTGTTCATCCAGGTGCCTGGCCTCCCACTCTGATTTTTGCCTCTTCTCTGCCAAACTCCTAGGGTGCTTATGTAATTGTGTGTGTGTGTATGTGTGTGTGTCTGTGTGCGCGCTTGTCAGTGTGGGTGAGTCAGTTTGTGAGAATGGTGTGTGTCTTTGTGTATATATGCACAAAAGTGGGTAAGTGCAGGGTGCGTGTGTGTTTATAAGGGTGTGTAAGGTTTTTTTTTTTTTTTGCTTGGAGTCTTTGATGCCTGGGAGAGGTGCACGGCTGATTGATATGCTGCTGGGGCCTCAGTGTGTGCTTGAAACACTGTTATTTTTTACTTTTCATACACACAATGTAGTAAATGGACACACATGGAGAGACAGTGACACAAACCAAATATCACTCCCACTCCCAGCTTATTGATGAGTCTGAGTCATTACGGCAGTGAAAGCTGTTGTAGTTATGACTCTCGAGGGTAGGCGGTGTTAGCGTGGGTAAGTTGTAGTGCTGAGCAGCTGTTAATGAGAAGTGGTATTGTTGACTTTCTCAGGGCAATAACACAAGGTGGCCTTTATCTGAATGACACCTGGGAGCTAGATATCCAAGGTTGGCTCCCTCGTTCTTTCTTGCTTTTTCCTTGTTTTCTTGCTTGTTTATAGTATCACGCACTTGCTATGATCTGCGCATGTCTTCCTCTGTCCTATTCCCTCTGTCCCACCCTGGACTCTGCTGTTTATTGTGCTTTTCTTAAACGCTTTGCAGCACGTCCAAAACCAATCCCTCTTTGGCACTTGTTGTTTAAGACACCTGGCCTGTGTTCACGCAATTCTCTTTCTACCTGCTGGAGGAAAGTATTTGTTTGTCTTTTTGATTGTTCGCAAACCTTTTGTGCGATGTTAGCATTGCCTCTCTGCTCTAGAAGGAACATCATCAAATTTCTAGGTTTACACCCACACACACACCTCTTGTGCCTCACCTGGCATGGCTAGAGGCCAGCACTGACACACACACAAAGAAAAGATCACAATGCTGAACGTTGTGTTCAGTCTACTACTCAGTCACATTTCATGCTACGGTGCTGTCTAATAACTATGAAACCAGACCATGCTGCGGTTTCTCACTGTAATCAGGCACGAGCAAACTGACCTATCTACACTTGAGTACCTGTTGGATCAAACAATGTTATGTTCACCATGGCAGTCACTACTGTTCCACTTCTTAAACATGTGGCTCAAGCTGGAAACCGGGTTATTTTTCACACTAATTAACCTCAGTTTATGTCTTGGGAATTCATTTAGCAAGCCGGTAGAGGAGTGTAACTAGCTGTGGAGTCTTTACTGACCTGTCTCTCTGTAAGTTTGGTGACTCCTGGTGACCTGTTCTTTGATCTATTTCTGTTCTATTGTCAGACCAAAACCCAAACAACAAATCTAATCCTTCACACGCTGCTCTTATACTCTCAATTTCTCAACTGTCTTTTCTCTCCCTAAGTCTCAGGTTCCTCAATGGCTTTCCCTCTAAACAAAGTCTGCTATTATGATCTTGATACTTAGTGTTGAGCAACTTCTGTGCATGTATTGTCCGTGTTGATGGGAGGGTTAAAGTAGTGAGTGTGCGTATCTCTACTCAAACCTGACAATGGGGCAGACTTACAATGAGGAGCGGCTTTCTTTTGCCTTTCATCTGCGCAGAAAACAACTCTCCTGTTTCATTCTCACCACTAAGCCGCTCTGACACAGTGTACTTTGATGTTGTGTGTGCATGTGTGTGTATGGACTGTTTGGTGTACCTTGGATGTTTACCCTACAGTGTGTTTAATGAAGGTTACACATAATATAAAGTCTGAGAGGCTTATCAGAACACACAACATTAACATGTCAGAGGGACAATTCAACTGTGTGTTCTTGAGGAATGCTCCTCCTCTTCTGAGACCACAGTTTGTAGTTTAAAAGTGTCTTACAGTCAGTGATGGTAAAGGTCCACCTTTGTACCCTGTTCCTCTTGGCTGATGCCTAGTGCTAGTTTTTCCGATGTTTGGCAGGTATATCATCATGGTATTTTCCACTTGTACCCTAACATAATTTTACTGTAGTAGTTTATGCAAGAGCAGGTTAGACAACTAATTCTGTCGACAATTTAACATCTGTGTCAGCTTGAATAGAGTTTTGGCAATCACCATTTTTGTAAATTATTTTTCAGGACAACATGAAGCAACTTGCATATTGGAAAAATAGGCCAGATAGTGAATGATGCGTTGAAGGATTGAGGTTCCTCCAAAGTGAAGTAAGCTCCTGTCGCCTGCAACTCTGCATCACTTTTATGGCTACTCCTCTTCTTTTCCATTCCCTTGTAATACTTAAAGTTGATCTGCCAACCAAAAAGGCACCATAAAAAGACCAAATGTAAATGCAGCCCAGTTTCTATCAAACAAGGAACCACATTAAAAGCTTTCCAGTGGTTTGCCAAGTCAAGTTGCTAAAACAAGCAGCCTTTCCAAAGAGGATTCATGGTAGCCACAAGAAGCACGATAGTCACTGAATCATCCCTATACAAAGTAATGTTCATTTTAAAACAAGAAGAACATGACAACAGCAACACCCCCATTCTTTGGATGAAATGTTGTTATACTGATTACTAATTTAAAAAGTACTGTGGCACGGCATTTAGTTTATACAGTGAGTACACACACCATTTTTGAAACATGACTCACCATGATGACCACTAATCCTACTCAAAGATGAAACTACACTACCAGATAAACATTCTTTTTAACTTGCTTGTTGTTCACCTAATAAATGGATCTACATCAGGATGTCTTCTCCTTTCTGTGAAAATAGGCCATTGTGGGTCAAACCTGTAGGTGGCAGCAAAACACTGAGTACAGAAATAACACTAACGTGTTCATACATACACATTTAATTACGTTAATCAAATCCAAGATAACAGATGCCTCAGGAGTTGTTCTAAACCTGGCTTTGCTTTTTTTGTGAATAATGTGCACTGGTGAATAATTATATATAGTCATAGCTGATTGTACTAAAGTATTTTGTAAATATGCTGTCTTAAAACGTATCAATTGACAGACCTCTTCTAATTTCACACATTTTATTAACCTGTTCAGGTCATAATAATTTGCTATCCCATTGTGTACCTTAAAGGTTATATATACAGAGATTTAAAACTTTAATACACCATTAAACAACTCTTTGCTATGTAAAGATATAATGGAGTCATGGTGTCCTGAGCAGAGAATGACGTCATACTCCATTTGCCTGTGTTGTTATCTGAGCATGTTTGTGCTTTGTTTAGGAAACTGGTCTGGCCGTGCATGCATGTTAGAGCAAGTCCCTCCATTTCCATCTTAGGAGAGCAACTTATGCCGCTGTTTTTCTCATATGTTGGTAAATTAAGGCAGAGAATGTCAGGGGCCAAAACAAGCACTTTAATTGGGCGTGCTTTGACGGGCGCATTTGTCCTCAAGGATTAGCTAACGTTACATGGCAACCATTGCAGCCTATTATGCGTTATGCTGCTTTTTTCTCATCAAATTATGTCAGTTAAAGGTTTTGACCAAAACAGCATTGATGATTGTTGGAAATACAGTGGAAAGACTAACAAAGACATTTTTAGTGACTTTGATTTTGTTTCTGTCCAGTTTAAGTGTGTTTTCTGATTATCTGCTTGGTCATTGTTTTTGGTCTGAGATGCTAGTGCTCTAGTCCGAAATCTAGTGGAAAATACATTTTGTATTTATAACCTTTACAGTTTAGCACCATGACCGTTCAGTACTAACATTGCTGACATAGAGTGTAGAGAGTCTGTGCTAAACTGACTATTTATGTATTTATAACCCATCCCACTACCACTGCAACTCCCGCTGTAAAGCTTTAATAAATACATTTTTTGAGGATGCTGCCATATATATTGCTGAGTCATCTGCGTACATAGAAATTTTAATGTTTCTGTATCTTATTGAAAGCTCAATCTAAATGAGTTGGTCTTTTGAGTCAAAGCAGTACATGTGAAGTGACATACTTTATAAGCATGCTAATAGTCAGTACTTAAATTATGAATCTGTAATTATATTCCTGATTGCAAAATAACTCTTGTACTGTATTTATTCACAACTCTGGTCATCTACCAATAAGGTATTGGTTAGGAGATAAATGAGTGGAAACAAAATGTAAAACTATGTAAAAGTTAATAAATGCAGCATGACTTTTTCTCAAGATTTATTTTTGTTGACATTTTTGCCTTTATTTGAAAGTTAGCCATTCATATAGACCAGAAACATGGAGAGAAAGAGAGTGAGAGCAACAAAGGTAGTTAGCTGGTATTGAACCGGAGATATTTTCTAAAGCATCAGTTCTAAAGTGAATTTCAGCATCTTCAATTACATGACATTATTCAGTCACAAATCCAGATCTGCTAAACCTCAGTGTTTATATTTGTTGTGTATTATTTTATCACTGTGAGTGGGTGGCTGTATAAGGAATCCTTTATGTACAACAGAGGTATTACCCATTCACCTGGCAGATGTTCTTTTAACTCCGGCACATTAATGGACAAGAGGCATACAGTAGTCTCTGAGGTTTCAGAATACATTCACTATCCTTATTGTCAAAGACTGTCAATGCTGCCTCTGTCCTGTCTTTTCCCACTGTGCCCTTTCACCTACTTTTTTCATATGCTTTCGGGGCACAGGTGTAAATGGACCGCCTTAAACGACTGGAACTGATACTCACAATCTTCTTGGCTCAGTGTGAGTTAGCCCACATTTGAGAATAGGAAATATCCAAGAGCAGCTGACAGAGGTGTGGGTTAATCTGCAGAATGACGAATCTGATATATTGTCAGACACAAACGGGGCAAAACAAAGGCATCAAGTTTACCTTTTTTTCTTGATCCGTGCTTGCATCCCTTTCCTTCCGTGTTTCTTTTAGCATATCAGATTCAGGTGTTATATCTCCTGTCTACCTCCCCTTGAACAATGCAGAACAATATAACTTTTTAAATTGTTTGCTTTCAATGATGCCAGTGTGCCTGTTTTAAACCTGCTCAGCAACAACGCACCATAATTGAATCTAATCCATCGTCTGCGTCATCTGATGCCCTTCTAGGTTTTGTGTTTGGAGTTCTTTCATCATCTTGGGGGAGGAATCTTTGTAGCATGTGTGTTTGCGTATAAATATATACCAGTTGCTGAGGAACGATGCCTTTAGCCTTGGCAGTTGCTGAAGACAGGTTTTCATTCTTCCTGTGAGACAGAAGTGTGAAAGGTTAGCTTGTGGAGTCAGATGGGTGTTTATACTGGGATGATGATCAGATGCTGCCTGCATCACTATTGGAGACACCACGCCCTTTGTCTAAGTTTAGCCTTGTTTATGTACACGCTTAACTTGACATTTTCTCCTCAGCTTTCAGCCCAAGGCTTTATCTCAGACTGGATTCCAGTTTGTAGCTGAAATGGGAGTCGTGTATTGACTCAGGTCAGAGAAAACAGCTATTTAATGTAACCCCTGTAAATCTAGTGTTCAGTATTATACGTATGTGTGTATGTGGAGGTATTCATAGTAAATCTATCAATCTGTATTGTTGTATGTATGTATGTATGTATGTATGTATTTGTATGTATGATGTATGGTATGTATGTATGTATGATGGTATGGTATGTTATGTATGTATGTATGTATGTATGTATGATGTATGTTATGTATGCTATGTATGTATGTATGTATATTTTTTCAGCCATAGCACATGACATAGAGATTTATAGATGTGCAGAGTAACGGAAAGGGCTGCACCAATAATTGCAAATTGCTACAGACCCCCAAACATTTCACATTAATCATGATTGTAAATAGTTTCTTTTCAGTTGAAATTATAAGTTGTGAGCAAAAATCACTCCCACAATAATCGCAAACTCTTTTAGCAATATCTGTCAAAATAATTGCAAAACAATGTTTTTACCATATTATGCAGCCCTGAAAACATGACTGTGCTTGCGCATGCTTCGTATAAACTATCTCTGTTTGTGGTGGCTGAACAGTTGGAGTGGTAAAAGCAGCAGGATTTAGTCAGAGAAATGTTCCTCATTAATCAGGATCAGTGTTCCCTCCGCTAATGATCCAGAGGAGACCTTGCGGTCCCAAAGCCACTTTCCTCTCTTCCAGTTCCCTGCCCCTGCTTTCTAGGAAAACCAGTCAGTGCAATCACTCTCTCTTTCTTCCTCTCTTAATCTCAAGTACCCCGGTCACTCCGCTCTGCTTCACTGCCCTCTGGCACACATACAGTGTGAGACAGGGGTTGTGGGGGGTGGGGTGGGTACCAATGGAGCAGAAAGGCGCATCTCAGGAAACACATCTCTCTCCTCTCAACTTGGTAAAGGGAGACGAATAGGCCTAAAGAGACCTTTTAAAAGTTTGTTTACACCTTTCTTTACACAGTGATGCAGAAACTCCTTGACCCTAACACCCAAGATAGTCCTGGACCAGTACTTGGTCTGAGAGGGAGAGCTCAGTGTGTGCGTAGTTCTCTCATCTCTCAGAGGCAGCTGCCTGGTGTTTAGTAGAAAAACCCTATCATACTCAGGAGTCCCCACATCAAACGATCCTGCTTTTTGTAATGGTGGAATCAAATGTGGAAATAGTTACTGACGTATCATAAATATAAGCTTACCTCTAAACTGAACATAGCAGGTCCAATGGAAGTGTTTTAGGTCTACATCAGTGTCAGCCAAAATGTAGCACATTATAGAGGAAAAGGCAATTGTTTGTACAGCATGGAAACATATATTACATCATTCTTAGGTACAAAGAGTCTTTTGTGTTCACAGATGTGATTTTCTCATGCAAATGTTTGCCTCACTTAATATTGTTATAACAGCTCAAGGTATTGTGCTGTTTACTCTGAAAAATAGGGAATATTACATTATAATGTTCTATCAAAGAAACATATGAGGTGATAGAAGACGCCATATCCGAGGCACTCATGCCAGACCACAGCGTCGCTATTAAGCACTTTGTCAGACGCATTTGGGAAGTGCTCTCTACCAGGCTAATCCAATTGGCTAGATTGATTAGCCGTTAAAAGCCTTTCTTCCTCTGGTCGGTGAAATTCGTTCCAAAAGCTGCCCAGTGGGCTAGCTTTAGCTAGGCTGGCCCATCGGATCAGTTGGTGCCAGGCCCACTTCCTGTGTAGGATTTCATCAGGCGCGATCAATACATGTAGACAGCTAATTGGATGAACACTGACACTCACATTTCTCTTCTCTCCACTTTATGGTCAAGAGAATAAAAGCTGAATATGGGTTTATAGGGGAGTGTCCTGTCCGTTACAGTAGGTAATATAACAGCAGAGTTTATGGGAATGCAGTGTGGAAACAGGCTGTATCATTTTTATGTCTGTGTCAATTAACTGAATGTGGTGTTATTTGATGGACAGTGATCCAGGCACCTCTTACCATATGTGAACACTGATGCTTGATGCCTTGTGTAACCTCCGTTCTCTCTGTCTTTCCTCGTCCCTATTTGTGTGTTTTTCTCCTCTCTTTCTGTTCTGGACATGTCTGGACAGAATGACCAAGTGTGACGTAAAGAACTACCTGGAGAAGATCTATAACGTCCCTGTGGGAGCAGTCCGTACCAGGATACAGTTTGGTGAGTGTCTTCACACATACAGAGAGCTATAACATTGTAGTGGTTTACACTACTACTAATATTTATATTTCTCATAGATTTAGTGATAGTGAAGATACTGCTGGACAATAATTATTTTATAATTAGCAGCAGCTAGGTCCTCACAGGTATATTCTGGTCCAAGTAACGGAGACCCAACCTGGGACCAGAGTGAGGACCGGTTCAATTTTTTTTTTGTCTAATTGAGTCAGGTCTAGGATCTGTGTGCCTAAATGTCTAATATCCAAATGTATCCAAGTGGATTCATTTATGATCAGGTGCATCATCATCTTCATCATCATCAAATGTGTTTTTGACATCAGATGGTAAGTGAACTGAAGTGCAGGTGACAGTGGCTGCTCTGTAGTTGTTGCTGCATGGTGCTGCTGCTAAGGCTGGTGTTTTCTCTATGTTTGAGTGTGCCAACTGCATTTCCAGTCTGACTGTCCATAGATCAGTTTCGGATTAAGTCCAAAACCTCTAATCGACGTACCATTTTTAGGTGGATTCTAGATAGCTAATTATCAGATACTTCTATACAATTGTATTTATATCTGCAAGGGCGATTTTGGTTCTCTGAGGCTTGAAGTAATAACGTCACCCTGTGGGTGGGTGGGTGGGTGGAATAACTGGCAGAAACATTATCTGGGCCATGATATGGATTATTTATCTGTTTCCGGTATTGAATGTTTCTCAAATCACATTTAATGAGTACGAGGATTGTTAAAGAGAATAAAAAAAATTAAATAAAAAAAAAAGACATCATTGTCTGAGTCACTGACCTTACAATAAGGAAAGCTAGAACATTACACACACCATGACTGTACATCTATGTACAGATTGGAGCTCGAGAGAGAGAGAGAGAGAGAGAGAGAATCCAAATTAAAATCCTAAAGTTGTTCTGCAGCTGTTGTGAGTAAATCGAGCAAATGGCGTACACATACACACACAACACATATACACGAAAACAGTTTCAGTATGCTAAGCTCTTAACTTCCACAGTGTATTAAACAAGTGTATATAAATAGCTAATTTGAGGACTTGAGAAAAAAGGTAACTTCAACTTCATGCACTAAATAATTACTATCCAATACATTTACATGTAAGCTATATTGTGTTGACATTTGGTATGAATCAAATTTATAGTCACATACAAGACTCCTCACTACAGCCCAATATTGGAAAATATACTCTGAAATAAGTGTTTTCACAATCTGTACCTAAAATGTGCCTTTGACGTTTGATTGAACTTTCACTCTTTGTAGTCATGAAAGATGAAAAGTTGAGCGAGGAAAAATAAAACACAAAATAAAGCATCAACTGAAACTACTCCTGCAGCATAAACCCCTCCATCTCTATTCATCCACAAGCTCAGTATGTTGCAAATACTTGTTTCACATGGAAATCATATTAAGGTTGTTTCCACTATAATCATTAGGTTATAGCCTTGTTAATCAGTTGATAGTTTTGTGAATTCAATTTTGGTTATGGAGTATGGAATTCACAGAAAGATGATTTTTGTTTTAGGAAGCATAAAGTCAAATTGATTTTGTTTTGGAGACTATAAGCGGTGGCTAGCGGTGATTAGCAATTTCAGCTCACGATGTAGTCTTCCCATTCACATGCAGCAGCGGGAGTGTTTTCCAGCGGCTAGTTGCGGTAGTGGTTAGCGTGCCTGGCTCTCCTTTCCCCTAACACACACAGCTGCTTATCTAACAATCTGCTGCTGCAGCATTCCAGCCTCCAGCTGTCCCAGGACACCCCACGCTCCCTCCACACAAACATACTATTCACTTACAAACTTGCAGCTTCAGGACCTTAAGTGCCCCATCCCCTCCAACCTCCTCGTCAAGGATGATCATAGAGCCAACAGTGTTATATCATTGACTTAATAATCCTTTTGACTTTTTATTGAGGGAGGAAACAGCATACGTTTGCATGGACTGATTTAGGGGCTCCCTACGAGTTTAGGAATTTGCAAGTTCATGGAAGAACAGAAGGAGAGGACATATGGGTGGCGTTAAGTTGGAGAGACGCTGTGGAACAGCTGAAAAGAGGAGACATGAGCCCCCTCTGTGCTCTGCCTGAAGGGCCACGAGGAGCCCCCTCTACCTCTGGAGGAGAGACTGGGGAGGAGGGAGGAGGAGAGAGGCGCCTAGCGTGGCCTAGCCTACAGTGTGGAGGACCCATTAATGCTGTTTATTAGGGTTGTGTCATTAAAAGCCAGGAGAAAAGGAAAGCCCCTCGGGAGGGTGGGTGTGGGGAAAGAGGAGGCTAGAGAAGAAAGGGCAGATCAGGGCCCCCGGTGATCCCGAGGTGCGTCAGAGAAGGTATCCCTGTTTGCGTCAGGAGTTCCACTCCATTGGCAGTGTAAAGAGGAGAGTGAGGGGCGCAAACGACCCTTTCTTCCCTCCATGGGCGGCTGGGGTATTTTGGAAGAAGTTGCCATGGTTACCCCTCCGGCCTGGGATTTGTAACATGATAGCTGGCTGCCAAACCGCAATCTCAAAGTGGGAGAAATTGTGCTTGCGTTTGCGAGTGTTGTATGAAAGCTCTGTCTGTGTGTCTGTATGTGTTAGGAAAGGGCTGTGTGAATTAAGAGAAAAACACTTTGTACCTTTTTCAAAGTGTACAAAAGTGTGTGTGTGTGTGTGTGTGTGTGTGAGATCAGTGCCGTATGTTGCTCTTTCAAGGGTTGTAGCATTTCCCTGTGGATTTCCTTCGCAATCACAAACACACACACACACACACACACACACACAGGCATACACTCTTCGTTACCTCTGTCTCCCACCCACACAGGGGCCTCCAGTTAGCCAGGGGGGCGTGGAGGGGGGGGTGTTTTACAACCCTACTCAGGGCTTTCCCTGAGCAGTGGGCTGCCTGGCTAGTGATTACTAGCTGCACGTACCACATAGACGCACACACACACACACA